TACAACCTCTGAATTTGCCTAGTAACGATGAATTCGTCGAGAAAATAGTAATATTTTATGAGAAATAGTCTGTATTTCTCATTTTTTTAATTCTTTTGCGTAAAACTAAAATTCATGCCAATATTTTTCCATGATTTATAATAATTGGAGTAATGCAAATGCATATTTTTAAAAAAAAAGTGAAATTTTGCCGGGAATGGGGCTTTAATATGATAATTATGAGATCATTATTCATTGTGCTACATTGGCAGTGCGTTACCTGTTGGTGCAAACGTTGGCGTAGCTGCCAGCGGGCTTCGAAGATCCTTGCGGATGTAGATTTTATCTGTGGAAGCGGCACAGTTTCCAGGGGACTTCTCCCTTTGCTTCAGAGGTGTTCTCTCACACTGGACAGCTGGAGTAAATGGATGTAATTTGGATTGCACTGTGTGAGAATGGCACAAAGTAAGGAAAATCTGTAGTGCGTGAAGGATGGAAGGTGACAGAGTAGACAAAAGCAGATCAGAGAACAAGAGACCGTCACCAGAAAACAGTTAAGCAAAAATTCCAAACTACTGCAATTCAAGTTTTAAACAGGTAAAAATAAAAAGAAGAGAGAATTCACACTCTTGCAAATTTGACAATGTTAATCCTTCTGTTGTACTTTAGTCAGAGGATGTCTTGCTGTTTTGTTTACTATAAGTTCTCTTGTTCCAGGTTCTACTAATTAATGAGATGGCCTGTTTGTAGTATTATAAAAATGTGATTACATGTAACTCTAATTATGAATCATACAGAATTTATAATGTTGGTCTTATCGCTAAGGCCTTTACGCACTTCAAAGGATTACTAGAACAAAAACTGTTGCCATTTGCATGAAGAGGCACAAAAGTAAGACTTTTCAAAGCTAGGCCCCAGAAAAAAAAAAAATTTTTGATATGTCGTACAACTGATTTTACTAATACTAAGACACAAAAACTCTAAAATGGTTATAAGATACAGATTTTTGAAAGTGGAGGAAAAAGGTGGAAAAGAGTGATTATGCCCATTTCCCCAGTTTTTAAATATTCAAAAATCTGTTATCTCAATCACTCTTTATGTGCCTTTAGAAAAATCAGTTCTACAATGTATGACATTCTTTTCCCTCTTAACCTGTACAAGTAAAAGTCCTTGCACAAAGTAATTTGTGTCTGTATATGAAAATAATAAGTGCAGTATTCTTCGAAACCACTTTTGTTGTGTTGTATAGAATAAACAGGCACCCACTTCTTTGTGCTTTTTCATGGTAATGGCAACAATTTGCTAACAAAGCATACTCAGCCCCCTAGAGGATATAATTTCATAATGTTACAAGTAGCATTTACTGTGCATCAGCATTTCAACCAAACTAGGTGCACACTTATCCCCTGGGCTGAGAGAAGACAACATGGATAAAATTCCTTGTCTAAGGACACAAGGAGACAGCCTGAGTGACAAACCCAGACTTTAAGTTTTGGAGACAAATTGCAACCAGTATACCACCCACTTTGCATTATTCTGATTATTCTTGAAGTCTACACAAATCCATTAAAAGCACCACGAGGCATACCTTCATTTCATTTTATTGCTTCCATCAATCATAGTAAATATATATTTTCTAGATATATTGGTGCAGATATAAATCAGCAGAGTGATTTTGTTTGTCTAAACAGATTTATTCACCACAACATCAACATGCATACATGATAATGCAGGGTACATCTATTTAAAATTTAGTCAAATAAAAAATTATACATTGAGTAAAAATATAGGACAATAATTTTACTCCATTCCTTTTAACTTTACAGTAAATTTGGTAATTTATTAATTTTATATAGACACAAAAATACTTAAATTAATAAAATATCAAAGTATTATGCAGAAGGTTTTAATAAACATCCTGTTATTTTTACATATTTTTTTTAAAGATATATCATATTTTTGTTAAATTTTAAATGTTTCTGTATGATGCCAAGCAAAGGTTATATTTCCTGTGTTGTTATTGCACAATAATGTAATCCTGATTCTTAAATTTTCCCCCAAAGCAAACTATAGCAGAAGGATACAAGATGAATTATTACTAATATATTTCATATTTATCTCTATATCTCAAATTGATTGTTTTGTTTATATCCATAAGGAGTTATAAATGTCAAGGAAGTCCTGATGCAAAATGGTTTTCAAACTCGAGTCTATGAGCAATTTGCTATAAAACAAGTTTTAATCAACTAGTCGTATTATGATAACCAACCTTGTAAAACTGAGTCTCCGCTAATACCTGACTTAGTGTTACGAAAATTTGACAATCACTCCATAGCAACAATAACTGTTGATTGCTCATCAAAATCAATAAAATATGCGCGTACTAAATCTCCAATCACACACATTTAACAATTTAATATAAATAAATATACAATATTTAATTGGTTACAATGTTTATGTTTATTTCTATTTATCTTATGACTAAATTGTTTACTGTATATTCCTAAAGAGAAGATTTTTATTTATACATATTTTTAATTTATTATTTGAACTTACTTCTATTTACTTTTGCAATTGCATATTATATATTTTGTATATTAATTTAATGTAATTCTTATATTTACTGTTATATTTAACCATACTCTGATGATTATATTTAGACTTGCAGAAGACATGCTTTCTGTAATTTGTATTCCTACATGTTGCGAGATTTTGCTGGATGGTTCACCCTCATTAAATACAGTTCAAATAAAATTAAATAAAAATTAATTATAAGGCACTTTAACACGTTGACTGCCAGACCTTTTTTAAGGTTCCTTCCCGTGTGCCAAAACAAGTTTACATGTACAAATATACTTTTTTGAAATTTTATCTAGTCATGTCATCAAAATGAAGTGTCTAATAAATTGGCGGGAAAATATTAGGGGGCGAGTATACTCGTCGATGGCACTGTGGTAGAACTTTTTACTGGCTATGCCAAGTGCGAGTTATCTCATCCGCTTTTTGCATGGGTTGGTATATGTTCAAAGGGCGCCCCCAATTGTACCGCTCGAGTGTACTACCGGCAACATAACACAACGGACATACATATGTCATTTGTACGTTATCGTCTAGGTGTATCTTCCCCGAACTACCAGCCGTTGAGTATGTGGCTCTACAATGTATAATTGTTATAAGTTATAAACGCTAGAATGTTTCCCCCGATTTGACGAGTATACTCGTTCCTGGCGCCCTCGGCAACACCCTGTGAGCGAGTATACTCGTCGCTGGCAGCAAACGTGTTAAATGTGTAAATTTCTTTCTTTTTTTTTTAAAGGAAAAGGATAATTTTTATATTTCTTGTTGTTTTTTATGTCCAAAGAAATTCCAAGCTGCTTGTAGATCAATTATATAGTCTCCAAAAGCAGGCTAAAAATTATAGAAAACCTTTACCGATTACAACATAGTTTAACTACCATTATCTATTAAAGGATTTAGCAGGCTGAGTAGTAGGATTCTCCTTTAAACCTGCAAAACCTTCAAATTTCAAATTAAAATTTATTTTCAAAATTGTGTTGATTATAAAATAATGGGATGGTATTAAGAATATGTTTATGTCTGAAAATGAAATAAAAGGCAACTACATTTAATGAATCAACTAATTTTTGAAAGTGCATAGAAGAAAACACTACAGATACATATCATCAACTTGCCCTGTCCTATATTAATACAAGGAAATACGTTTTCAATCTATTTTTAATTTCACTAAAATGATTATCTTCCCTATTAAAAACAATAAATTATATTAAACTTCAACAGGAGTTAAATGTTATGATACATTAGAAAAAAAAAAAAATTTCTGACAATTAACCTTGTCATTTTTTTTTTTTTCTTAAATTAATTTATATTCATAAATAGGACAAGACAGGTCAACAACCGTGTGAACAAGGTCTATCACCATAGTGTTAAGCCTCTACAACCCAGCTAAATGCAAGCAAACTGTTTATAATCTTCAAAGGGTACTTACAATCTGGTTTCATGCCCATGGTGAGGCACTTTTGTAAGCGACAGTATTGGCACCGGTTCCTGTGATGTTTGTTGATCGGACAATCTTTGTTGCTGCGGCACGTGTAGCCCAGACTCTTGCGGATCGACCTCTTGAAGAAACCTTTGCATCCTTCGCAGCTGATCGCACCATAGTGACGTCCTACAGAAGGCAAAGTATGTAGTAACACATATTTTTTGATGAACGAAAGATGATTTACATGTGTACGACCGGTAAAATGCATGATGCAAAGGAAGTGGATAGCATCCTGTTATGACTCTGGTAGTAGGTCCTATGACACAATACACATTGTTCTTCAATTTGTGGTATAACTACCAGAATGCTTGGTGTACTCTTCTAAACATGTTTGAATCAGTTAACTATAAATAAGATTAACATATGAAGTATCTTTGCAGCAAACCTAAATTCTTTTGAAAATAATTACTAACTATTTTAAAACCTTTCGATCCAAAAACTAAGTGCAATGGAAAAAATAGTCACAATCAATATCATCATAATCATGTCAGTATCATGGTTAATATTTAAAAAGAAAAATAACAAAGATTACTTTTAAATTTTTATTTTTTGATTCCTTATAATAATAGCCAAATATATCTAGCCTGTTCTACTAAATAAAGGAAATTATTAACGTGATAGACGATAGATTTGTTTAACATGACTTACCAGAGGCTCTGTCACCACAAACAACACAATATTCCACAGGCCTCTGTGGGGAGTACTTTTGTGTCCCTGGGCTTTTGATCATCAAATCCTCATCACGTAGCTTGGCTAATCGTTCCATCGTCTGATGGTCTAGCCCAGCGACTGTTGTTGGGATCTTCACGATATGGTCAACTGTCTGTTGATTAACACTGACCTGTTGAACTTTGTATGCCTCTACAGGATGAGGGCCTGCTTGTACAGTGATCTACAAGAGAAGATATAAATTATTTTGTTAATCATCTTTAATATTCATTAATTAGCAAATTATTATAACTTGAAATTTTTTATTAATAATATATTATTGATTTATTTGTTTTAAACACTTTTTAGACAATAATGAGATTCTTAACAATGTGTACCCAAAATTCTATTGTACATTTAGGCTTGAGAAGCTGGATTTTCGTTAAGTTGTTTAATCAGAAGTTACTGATATCTACATAAAAATACTATATTAAGTAACATAATAAACAGAAAAACTTATTACTTCCATCACTCTAGTAAGGACATACAAAACGACATCTAGTAGCAGTGATGTGCAACGGTTAGCATAGACTAGTCAATTGAAATAATATATGCATGGCACAAAATTAGTACATACATGTAATGAATAAAGCATAGCAAAACCTGAAACATTGACTGTGAAGATTCTAAATGAAGTGGGACAAAGATTTGAGTTCAAAAATAACCAACTATTGAGAAAATTGCCAGCAAATGAAATTAACCACAAAGAATGACCAATAGACAACTGCTGGGTATCAAATGAAGACAAACTTTTAACCTCCGAGCTACGAGTCTCATGATTGAATGGGGATTGCTCATTCATCTTGTGCAGAAATAGAAAACGTATGGGCCTCGAAAAAACTCATACGGATCATATTAAAAGAAAACAAACTGTAGAGAGCTAACCTAGTTAACTGCAAAGTCCATAGTGTAGCGTCTATGTCCGCGCTCAATTTAGTGTACAAGGCCAATAGGTTACCAATATTCTGAAGAGTGTGAAGGAAACTCGCATTGGCATTATTAGTCAGGGGTTCTCGTCGGGTTAAACATGTGACCTGCCAACCAAGCCTGCTCTCAACTTTTCCTTTCGACCTGACATGCATGCTACTGTGCTGTGTGAATCACACTTCCTGTGATAGTTAGCATCTTCCAATTCTTATTTTTTCTAGATGTTGGATTGGTTGGCACTTGTCTGGGAGTGCCTTCGAGCCGACAGATGGCCGCCATCTCCGTGTGTTACGATTCATAAATAAAGCATCATCGAAAATTGAAAACACTTACAACTGCTTTTATAATTTTAATCAGAATTGAAAGAAGCAATTTCATAACAAATTTTAGCAGATAAATATAACGAATAAGAAATTATCATTTGAATTTATTAATCTTCTAATGGAAGCTAGACCTGTTTACATTCCCTTTTCATATTAAATGTTAATTTGTTTATAAAATGGTCTGCTTTGTACACTGACTAGGTCATTATTAATGATACGAATGTCTACTAACTGTACTTCTATCTTTTTCAAAAAATATACTAAAAACAGAAATATTTTAAGCTTTAAAAATGAATAACTCATGAATTGAGAAGCGAGTAAAAAGTCATGAAAAATAAATCAGTCTCTGAGACTTAGTTGCAAACAATGGTTTTTACTTCTTTTAAAAAATAATTAGTGTTTTTTCAAGGCAGCTATATAGCTTTATATAGCTATTAGCATTTCTTTGTAAAACATCAACTTTTAAATTGTTCATAACATGTGAAATTGCACTGAAAATAATACAGCTCTAACTTAGACAAATCTCAGAGTACAAATTTAATTAATTATTGTTAGGTTATTATCACACTTCATGTTACTGACGTCACAATTATAACCCAGATAACTTCCACCCTTTGATATTTATTAAACAAGACATACAAGTGTACCAGGTCATGATCACAAGTCAATGATGACACAAGTAAAGAATCTATTTCTTTTAATCAAATTATTCTGAGCTAATTAAAGTAATTATTTTTATGGACAAATTTTAACGTTTCTTTTTTTTTTTTAAATTAGTTGTGACCAAATAAAGACAGTAATTCACTGCATCGACAACAGATACGTTGTCATGAAGAACAATGAAAAAAAGGCATTTGCAACTGATCATTTTTAACAACAATCTACTCAGAATGCCACAGACAATCAGCAGACAACATCAGAAAGAAACACTTGCAGAAAGCGGAGATGAATTTACCGGCCCGCGGCCATACAGAATGGCTGCGCACATTATAATAATAAGGATAAAAGAGGATAGAATAGTAGTACAGTCAACAACTGTTTTTTATCAGAGCAAAACCAAACTAATCATCATCTTTTCTTTTTGAAGAACTACTAACATGAATGTGAAAATTCCACATTGCAATGTGACGTTCAGAAGCACTTTTTAAAATCTTTTTCAACTTGGTATTGGATTATGCACTTTAATGCAACCAATAATAGGACTGAAACCTGAGGATGTTTACATTTTCAATTGACATATAAGCATGAATATAGTATCTCTCTAGCAAGTGGGAGATATTTTAGAAAACTCATGAGAATCTGTTTCAAAGTTGTTTTTACCTGATGTGGAGATGCGACGTTCCCATGTTCAGATGTCACTTGCACGATCTGCTGCGGATTTGTTACTACAACCTGTTGAAGGATAGGAAGTTGGTGCGTCTGTTGTACTTGTTGTAATCCACCTTGAATCTGAACCTAAAATCAAAAACAACCCCATCATCAAATACTAATTCATTTTTAATATTGATTATCCATAAATATTGGTGTATACTTGAAATTAAACTGAAATTGAAATACCAGTATTTAGATTTTATGTACAGTAAGTTCTGTATGCTACAAAATCGCTTCACTGTTTTTAACTGCATTTGCTACACTGAATAGAGGTCCCCGAAGACATAGGAAAGGCTCCCTGATTGGTCCCCGACAAATAGGCAAAGTTGAAATAGTTTCAACTTTCCCGATTATCAGGGACAAATCGTATCCACTCACCAATCATCGGCCAAATACCCTAAATGTCATCAGCTTTGTCTTGAAGATCATAACTTGATATTTCGCTCACAATGTGAAGTATCCGTTGCTTTAGTGAAATTTTTTAGGTGATGCTAAAGTGAAAAATATTGCATAGGGCCTAGTTGCCTACATTATATTCTGTGAATACACTGTAGAAATGTACTACACTAACTGAACAGCCCTGCCAAGGAAGGCCGGCCAACGACCTAGTGGAAACAATCTTCAGATAGGGATAATGGAAGGCCTAGAGTTGGTATCAGTCATTTGTCAGTGGGTTCAACGATATTGATAGTGTCACCAACAGCTCTTTGCAATAATGTGTAGCAAAGAGACACCAGGCATACCGGAACATTTATGCTAAATTTGAAGACCAAAACAATGCATCAACCTATATTTTTCATTTATTTTTCATAGAATAAGTTAACTATGGTCTTCCTAGTGTCAGGCACTGTTCTTAACATAACAATCCAAATTGTAAAATCCATAAATGTGGCAAATATGAAATGACAAAAATAAAATAGGCAGATTAATTTCTGTTGAGTTTAAACGGTACTAAATTAAAATATAATTAATATTATCATTTATATATAGTAAAAAATATTTATCAACTACTGTATATAGTGTAATAAGTACATTAAACTAAATTACATGCATTAATTATTTATAATTGCATTTCTTACTGTTATTTAATATTAAATATAACTATGTATGAATTATACTATTGAATGAATTAACTGCCAGAGAAACATATAATCAATAATTCAAGTTGTACATACAGTAATGTATCGAAAGTTTATGTCCTAACCTTTCTTCAACATATTATTCGTAAAAAAAATAATTGTAAAAAACACAATTCAGTATTTAAAAAATGCCATATATTCCTGCTTTCTGTTTCAGAGTTAATAATGTTATCAGTAATACCAGATAACATGCCATACCTATTTGTGCTTGAGTAATCTAAGAACCTAAATATAATGCATGAAATTTTTATCTACAGACATTAAATCTATCAGGATACAGCACACCACATGATGTATTACAATAAACCATTGGAGATTATACCAGCTAGTAGTGACATACACATTTAAACTATCCATCAAGAACTTATGAATAATTTATGTTCTATAGTGACATAACCATTTGACCTCCATTGCCATTAATGCAATTTTTGTGTCTACTGCCCCAACGGGGGCATAGACGTTATGTCATGATGCAGCAATTGAAAATGGTGGAAAATCCGGTTTAGGCATGATGGGTACTACTACCACGACTATTGACAATCGAATAGCGTTAGGAACTCGAACACGCATTATAGAGAGACGCAGCATGCGTTTGCCACAAACGCCTTTTACCGTCATTTGAAGGACGCCCTCTAGAACATGGTACAGTACCGGCCATAAATAATGCAAATTTTTAGACGCAACAGACTCATCCAGTTTCCGTCATGTTTGCGTACACGTCCGTTCAAGGCCTACATCTCGACGCACTCGCGTCTTCCTAAAATTGTTTATCAATGTCGATCACATCAAATTAACAATCCCTATTCAGTCCTGTAGTACACAATGGATGCGTTGTTGTAACAGTAATTCCGTTAGTTACTGTACTTTTGTTTTTGAGTCATACATTATTTGAAAACGTCGTTTTCCTCCGCTGACTGACGATCAATATAATCAAAATGACGGTAGCCTAGCAAACAGATGCAGTCGATTTCTGGCTCCGCAGTTGACAATTTATTTAATATTACAGAAGTACTCACATTTTCTCACATTCTCAATTTATAATAAAGTACAGTGGTACTGCAGTAAATTATGTTATGATAAATTATACTCCAGGTACAGTTGGGCCCTGGCTAGGCCCTAGTGTAAAATATTAGGTATTTTTATACAGAGACAATCGGTGCAGTACGAATCCATGCTGCCGCCGTGGTGTCATGAAAACATGTGCTACAGCAAGTTCATAGTTCACCAATCAACATGTTCAGACAAGCCGTCCGATGGGTAAAGATCAATTGGATTCAGCGATGTTCTTGAGTTGATGCAAATTGTGAAAGAAAGTAACAAGTCCTATAATAATATAATAATAATAAAATAAAATAAAATAATAAAATATATGTCAGGGTATTATTTGTTATATTGTGTGTATTCAATTACAACAATATATCGGTATTAATACATGTTATAAAATGAGAGTATTATTCTTCCTTAAAAAAAAAAAATTCATGCCTTGATCATTTACGGCAATGTTATGTTAATGTTGAAAGAAATCCTAATGCTTATGATATCTCGATTAGGCCTATTTAAAATGATTGACGGTACTCTTAGGCCTACTCTATTTTGTTATGTTCCTAAATTTTCGTTGCTGTTAATTAAAGATTTTTTAGAATATCAATCAATCAATGGATTTAAAAGGCATATACCAATACAGCTGTCTGGTGAATAATAATAGTCATATAAAATAATCGAAGCAATGGTGTATTATGACTGTATTCATGATTATGTAATAAAATATAATTTTCGATTGAACTGATTGAACTATAATGAGAATTGCGAGATACACAATACTGATCCACCACTGTGCTTCACTAGTTTTTGCAATTACTGTACTGTATAAGGTATACAAGACGTATAGTGTTGGGCGTCACCAGAACAACGGGCTACAGTAGGGTGTGACTGATCGTCAGATTCGGTGCACGACTTGTTGCACTATTATTGTTATTGATTTTAATTGGGCGCATGTAAAGCAGATTCGGTGCATAATGATGTACAAAAGAAAAGAAAAGCAACAGTACAGGATTCTTTTATTGTCCCGTTGTAACGAAAAAGTAAAATTCGTCTCCTGATACAAAATAAGTAAAAAATTACTAGTATAGACAAAATAATCGACGGACATATAATACAGAATATAAAATTATTGACAAGAGTTAGTGTATCTATT